ATTCTTCCATTTGTATAAGACCGAGTTCCGAAAAAGAAAGTACAAATATAGAAACGAATAATATTGCTAAAATATAAAAAAAGAAATAGTATTTATAAAAATACTCAATTCGGCCATTGTATACCAAAATACAGTGTGTATTATAATAATTTATTAAATTTTTCTAAAAAAAATATCGTTCTGTGAAATGTTCTGTTTAAAAATTTAATATTGAGAATTGGTATACCTAAAAAAGGTAAAAGGTATTGGTAAGTAGGTAAGTATGGAGTGATAAAAAAAGTGTTCCTAAAGTAGATCATGGAAAAAATACGGCATGTCAGAGAGTGCAATTCTTCCTTTTTCTTTTTTAAATGTCAGTTTGAAGTTTGAATTTAATTCGGAGGCATATAGTTATCACATGACTCGTATCCCTCTCTTTATCGGCCATGTCTTATAATAATTATAATACCAACAATATATTATGGAAATATATTATTTAATAATTAACAGATAAGCCGGAGTTTATTTAGGACATACCTTTTTTTTTTCGTACTTTTTACTTGAAATATTTATAGCGCAGATTTATTTTTACTTCTTCCTAGCTACTGCATCTGTCTCTGTTTCATGTCACCTCTTGTTTCTTTTTCTTACAATTCGTAAATATTAATCTTCACTCGTTGAATTAAATTAATAAAATTATTCTATTTTTCATTGAAATGTTTCCACAACAAATTGTTTGTGTAATTCAGTATCTTATAAATAATAGATATCAAAACGCCAGAAGCCATATAAGTAATTAAATATTACATAATATTACTTTGTTTTGTTTTCAAATTAAAAAATTCCTCACACGTATTTTTAGTATTCTAATTAAAATCGCACAAAAGCCTCAATAATAAAGGTTTGAAATTACATTTCTTAATTTAAAATAATGTATTAGTTCATCTGGACAGGGATTCTTATGTGCGTACTCAACACGTAACGAATCAAATAGAGAGAGAGAGACATTACATACAAATTGCATTCTGTGGAACGAAGATAGAAGCTTCTCAACACGTCTCGAAAAGAAAGATGAGAATCCCACTGCAGATTGCAAAAAGTGGCACATCATGTTTTTTGCTTGATATATGTATAGTCTGAATAAAAGAGGAGTGCAGTAAAAGGGGGATATAACCTCACATTCCATAGACGTTCTTTGCAAAATAAGTTTCTATCATATAAATAGGGTCACAGCATATAAAATGGCATGTACGCACTTCGCAGATTAAATTTTGAATGAAAAAAGTTATATTATTTACAAAAAATACGAATTAAATTTAACCAATAAATAACATAAAATAAAATTACTGCACTCCTGTCTTCTCTAGGCTATAGATATTTATTAAAACAAAAAGCTGTAAATTTTCATAAATTTAATAAAAAAAAATTATCGAAGGTTTAAAAAAAATCAAGGTTTCTCAACCCTAAGCTTTATTATTATTGGTATTTCTTGAAAATGTCACAAAAAAGACTACCAATAAAGTCTCGGAGGGAATTATAAATTTTCAAGATATTTGGTGTGCTCTTAACAGGTAAATTCAAATAATTTTTTGTCGAATTTTTAATTCGGTGACTGTTCTATCAACTAAGTGATTTGTTTTAAAAAAAGCAAATTAACCTTTTGTTTTTGGATCCGTTTCTTTTAAAAAGATTTGTAATTTTGTGAGAATCATGTAAAATATATTTTTACAACTTTTTTTTAACCAAAATTGTTTTTATTTGAACTCCATACAAAACATTAGAACATTTGACAAAATGTAATTTTTCATACATAATATGTGTTTTTTATAAGCCATAATCTCGGTGGATAACAACTTTGATCAAAACCCATGAACAAGGAAATTAAGAAAATATGTCCCCAAGTTCTAAAAATCCGCCAGAGGCAATTGGTTTATAGTGGAATTTTTGACCATTTAACATATTAGGTCTGTTCCAAAAACAATCCGAAACCAGTCAAGGATTCTGCGCACTAGATTATTTAGACTGCCAAATTCATACTGCGCCCAATCCTGGTGTTATAGACTGGTTTCTGATCGTTCTTGGAAAAGATCTATAGCTAATTGGTCAATCGTTTGAAGGGGTTAATATACTCATGTTTCGTCTATATATTATATTGTCAAATAGTAGACCAAATGTAAACAATAAATGAGTGAAAATGATAGTAATACGCTAATTCGGTGTGATGTCATTTTGGTTCCACTTAATTCTAAACAAACTTTTAACAAAAGCATCAATAAATTTGACATATACGTTTTTATTGTTTTTAGTTTATTTCTAAATATTGTTTACAGATCATAAAAAATAGTTTAAAGATATATAATTGGTAACTAAACGATTGTATATTTGATGCATGTTATCTACTTACTTTAGGAATATATTTATAAAAGTGAAAAAACGATATAATTTAGGTAAACAAAACGAACAAAACGCACTCAAAAAATCTACTGTCACCTAATTGTCAGTGGAACCATAATTACATCATCACTGAACTAGCGTATTGGGATATACAAATCAATGAACTGGAGTGGGGTAGAATGCCAATGTGCATATTTATTTTTATTGTTCATCTCACTCGGGAGTATTTATATTAACCATTTTCTGTCTCACATTGTTATTGTCTGGTTCACAATCAGGTGGATCAGGATTCATACAGATAAATAGCTCAGCTGAGTTCGCGCATGACGAAATGTGGTGTGGAAAATAGCTATCTGTGATGGCAACAAGCAGATCAAAATGTATTTTAGCACGCTGTTTTCAATCAACTGATAAGTTAAATACGTAAAAATCACGCTTTCGCAATGCGTCACAGTGACGTATCAAGAATCGGCGTAATATCATACCTTCGTTTTATAGTATCATGTGTATCCAGCTGAGTTGTTTACCACCGTTTAAAATTTACGACTTCTGGCGGATTTTTTAGAACTATGCACAGGTTAGGATCATGTAACTCCTATAAATTTAATAATTCTGATCCACCGTTCCTATAACTACAAACTTGTTATGTAACCATTCTTAAAGAAAATGGACACTGTAATCTGGTATACAATATCGAAATAAATACCAAGATTTTTATCGAGAATAATCGAGTTCTTCCTTATTTAGCAAATGTGTAATACATATTATAAGATAATATACAATCTGTTTAAAGTGGTTTCTATCTAATTAAAAAAATATGATACTGGATCGTCTCTAAAGATAATATATTATACATAGTGTTTCGAATTCATGCAAAAAAATGAAATAAACCAATTGTAAAAAAATACATTAAAAAACTCAATATTAATCATAAAGAGACGAACTGAGGTTTTTTTTTGATAAATCATCTAGTCTTGTTCAGAGTAGAAACGTCGGTAAAACAACCTAGTGTTACCAAACGCACACGTTGAGAGTGAGAGTGATTAGCGATGCGATGTTCTGAAATATAGCAGAGGCAGAAGTTGGAAAGGCTTTTAGTAGGTAGATAGGGGGGTAAACGTCAAACCACGTCGGACAATTTCGATAATTTCGCAGTAATGTTTACATGTATTATAATATCCAAATCACCAAAATTTCAACAGCTATTTACAATTTATTAAACTATTTACTCGAAATTGTTATTAACATCTAAAAAATAATTTTGTACGCCAATGTATCGCGTCCACTTTGGTTAGATCCGCTACAAACCTGTCTATTTATGTGTATGAAGTGGGAGAACTAGCAAAAGCCTTTCCAACTTCTGCCCCTGCTATTAGGGATCCCAGATCTCACGAGTTATCGTGAGATCTCACGATACGGTACTCACGATAATGTGCCTTAGTCTCACGATATTTTTAAAAAAGCTGCTTGCAGTAACGAACCCTAAGTTTCTATGTAAAAACAATAATTTTTAATCAAACAAATAATTGAATTATGCCCTAGAGTCCGACCATGGAACGCGCTAATGTTGGCGAAACATGGCGGACGAATGGCACTTGAGAGTTTCAGCGGTAATTCACAGATTGCTGCATTTGCAGGCTTACATCGATTAATGCCCTAACCACATATTCTTAAGATAGAATTAAAATTAATTGTTTATTAAGTTTATATGAAAATTTGAGACATTTAGATGGTCACGGAAAAACACAAATCCTCCCTCTAATTCTTAAAAAATATATTAGCGTTTCTGATTAAAATCTATCTGAGAAAAGAACAAAAAATATGTTTTCTCTTTATCTGTTATAGGTGTTAAAACGGTGTTAAGAGTCAAAAGTCGTGGTCAATCCTTGCTCTCTCCTCGAACAGAGCACCTTAATAAAAAAGGCTAAATATTTTAATAAACTGCGCATGCGTTGTACAATCTCACGATTTCTCACGATTTTTTCAGGATCAAATTCACGAATTTGGGGTTAGTTCATCTGGGATCCCTGCCTGCTATATCAATCCCGTCACTCGACGCAACGCTATCGCATCGCCACGCTCGCTACCCCTACTCTTTAGATAACTTGCAATGATAGCTTAAGCAATAAAACGTTTAGAACAAGGGTTACCTGTGAAAAATTAGAATAAAGCTATAAATTGGTATGTTGGTCCAATTCGATGTTCTGATAATCCCCTTTCATTCGCTCCAGTGCTATCTGGCCATTTTTTTAGTTTTTTTAACTCGATTTTTGAAAATATTACGCAAACGGCTAGCCTGAAATAAAAAAAAATCTTATCCAATAAACTATAAATGCAAGGGCAGTACTCTCGCGAGTTTTTGTCACAAATATACCCTATAGATGAAGATTGGACTAGAATTTTTCATTTCAGCCATTTCCTCGGTGTTCTCAAAAAACAATTTTTTTTTAACATTTAATTGGACCAGGTACCAATTTTTAGCTCTATTCAAATTTTACACAGATAAATCTACTCTATTTCTTCGCCTGTGATGTAATATAGCACATTTTTAGCCTGGAGTACTGAATTATTCTCAGATAAAAACGAAAAATTGGTATCAATTTAGTTTTTTTTGCTTTTTTACTTACCAATTCCATTCCCAAAGGAGGCGCTGCCTCATAATGCCTCACGGAGGTGATCCGATTGCCGGGCGGTACCAAACTCATCGCTACTTCCGTCATTTTCAATTTAAATCATCACCCACTCTATAATTCCTTCAGCTTCACCTGAAAACAAAACAACGATGACGTTGCGTTATGTATATCATAACATTCAAAACAGAAATATAATCATGCATAACAATTATTTAATTTAGAACGCTTTTCAAAGTTACATAACGAATCAGAGTGCGTAGGAGTGCGCAACTTTTTTCGAACTACGGTTAGTCCTTCGAAGAAAATTCCTAAAATATGTTTAGCACCTTGTGGGTGTTTCGAATGAGAGACACGTGATTTATTAAAGCTGCGTTCTTTTTCGTTTGCCAAATATACAGGATGTTGCAAACTAATGGAAATAAAGCCTGTCAAATTATGTTTATGTAATAATTACATTAAAATCTATAACTTTATATTAATATTCATGTATGCTGGATCAGCAATTTCTGTTTTAAAATCCAGCATTCTTTGAATGTAATATGAAACTATTAATTTCCCCCTTTTCGTATTCTAATAGAAATATATATATATATTTTTATTACATAAGGTGTATCTATGAAGATCAGGAGTATCTAATATTTTATACAGGGTGCGCCACGCTCAACGCAACGATGGGTAAACTACAAACGATATTAAAAATTTCTTTGGTACAAATATGCAACTCAACTTCAGTTACAAATTAAAATTAGGTTCATTTATACAGTATGTCCCAAACCAGAATACCAATGTTACCAATATAAAGTTATATGTTTTCTATTAATTTTAAATTCAACTCTTAAAAATATTGGTGTCGGCTCATCTCCGCCCGGCTTATCTCCGCCCGCAACCTTTTTCGGCTCATCTCCGCCCAGGGTTATGGTCAACCAAAATACCCGGCTCATTTCCGCCCAGATTTGCAGCCCCTTACTAATTACGGCATTTTAGATTAATAGGTACATATTTACATACATACATATTCGAGTAGTATATCGGTCAGAGTTGGGTAGTATCCGGATACTTCTGTATCCGGATACGGTATCCGGATACTTTAGGTGTATCCGAAAGCTGTATCCGGATACTTTTCAAATTTTGTATCCGGTATCCGTATCCGTGATCAAATTTGTAAGTATCCGGATACCGGATACTTTTTTCGGCATTCGGAAACTTTTAAATTATTTACCACAATCGTAAATGATCCAATCCATATTACATCTATTAAAATATACAGTGTGTCTACTTAAGTTGGAACCATATATGGAAAAAAAAAATATTATTGACTTTAGGAAAAAAAGTTATTTCTGATAAAAAGTCCTGCATGACCTAATACAGTCATCAGATATCAAATTTTTCAAGCCGTATACGAGGTTTGTCAAAAAATGTGAATTTTGATCAAGAGTAAAGTACGTCTATTTTTGACAAAATCGAAAATGTTCATTAAGAAAATTGCTAAATTCTTCACAAACATCAAGAAAAGGAAAGCGTATTATGTTTATAGTAGAGAAGAGAGAGAAAAAATTATGGATTACCGTAATTAGGAGGATCAATGCAAAATCTAGAAAAAATATGATTTTTCAGATAGATCGGTGTAATTGCATATTTGAATGTAATTTTCTTGTACTTTTCTTAATGAAAATTTTCGATTTTGTCAAAAACAAACGTACTTTACCCTTGAGCAAAATTCATATTTTTTGACAAACCTTGTATATGGCACAAAAAATTTGATATCTGATGACTGTATTTTAAGTTTTGGGTCATGCAGGACTTTTTATCAAGAATAACTTTTTTTTCTAAAATCAATAATATTTTTTTTTCCACGTGGTTCCAACTTAAGTAGACACACTGTATAATCGAATTACTTTGAGCCTACCCTATATAATTAAAAATAAAAGACATATTTTTCAATATTACAATATTAAAGACACAATTACAATAGGTACCTACTTAAATAAAAAATAGCAAAATAATTATTTTATTATGATTTGTTGTTTTGTTTGGTGCACCCTGTAAAATTTAAATTAACGCAAAAAAAATTCTCATCGCCAAGGTGAATTCGACGATTCACCCAGTATACAGACGGTCGGGATTCAGCATCTTGCAGCACGTTTTTACAGGAAAAATCCTGCAAACCCTTGTCCGGTGTTAGCGTCATGAACTTGACAGATGGCTCAATCAAATACTGCCACGACTAAAATACTATTGTTTCGAGAAATGCTAGATTTTAAATGATTTTCGGGCATCTTTAAGGATATTTTTGTTTGTGGCGATATTTTGCATCCATTGACCCAAAAATGTAATTTTCTTTGTTTTTTGACTTGTGGCGGTTTTTGATTGAGCCATGGTTGTGGAGGTTCCATTAGGCCAGTTATGTTTCAGTTGGCAAAGATAAGAGACGGTTGTTCCTGTGTTTTTATATAGTGCAATATAACTAAACTTTATGTATCAGTTTTAGTGCCTAACTATACGCAAAGGTAAGTAGGTGTAGGTACCTCGAATTTTTTGTTTTGTAAAATGTCTAATTACATTATTAGGTCTTAAAATGTAGTTGAGAAAATACATGTATGACATTGTTGCTCATAATGTTACTGATCATGTGTTATTTATGTCGTCATCAACATCAATAAAGTATACAGATCTGACAAGATCAAATATACGAGCCTGCTTTACCTATGCCAGAACGAAACATTTAGCAATCTCTCACTCCTCCTCCTTTCGACGCTCTCGAATCTACGAAGTACCACTCGTTGGAGGATCCACAAAAAAATGAATTGTCGAATACATCTGACACTGACGAGAATATCGATAGGTTGTATAAACTTGACAAATCGCGCCAACAACGAGCTTATTTCGTTAGATTTATATGGACACGACACTGGCTGGTTTTTGGCGCGGTTCAGGCGCGACTCGTTTTATTAACACGCACCTTTATGTTTTATCGTTCATTTTGTTTTAATGTTTTATATTCACAGAATAAAAATAATTCACAATTTATTGAGTAGTTTTTTCCTGTTTCTATTATATCGCTTTCCATTTCAATAATTTATTTATGCCTAGTATTGTTTATTGTTACTCGCAATCAATCTTATTGCATAATTATAACTGTTGGTATGAAAACATTATTTTAACTCAATTTACAAGTATCCGTAAAAGTATCCTTTAAAGTATCCGAAAAAAGTATCCGGATACTTGTATCCGAGTACTTTTTACTTTCCTATCTGTATACAGATATAAGGAAAGTATAGGAATCATGATTTTTTTCGACCTCGAGTTTTCGACGGATTTTTACGTTTTGAGGTCCCCTGAATCCGTTTTGACTATTTTCGCGATGATGTCTGTGTGTGTGTGTGTGTGTGTGTGTGTGTGTGTGTGTGTGTGTGTGTGTGTGTGTGTGTGTGTGTGTGTGTGTGTGTGTGTGTGTGTGTGTGTGTGTGTGTGTGTGTGTGTGTGTGTGTGTGTGTGTGTGTGTGTGTGTGTGTGTGTGTGTGTGTGTGTGTGTGTGTGTGTGTGTGTGTCTGTGTGTGTGTGTGTCTGTATAACGCATAACTCATGAACCGATACACAGAAAAACACCAAATTTTAAACTTAAGCTTTGTTTCAGCGTCCAATGAGCTGATTAGATTTTGGGCAGAGTCGGAACATCTGGGGGGGTACTTTATAGGTGGTCATTTTTATATTTTATGGAATATATCTGTTATTTACGTTTGGAGAAGAAAATTCTTCAAATAAAAGTTACTTCTAATATAATTATCTATAATTTTTGTATTATGCAAAATTTTCCTAAAATGGTCCGTATTCGAGAAATTTGACAAAATGTAAAAAAAATTATTTTTTATAAAAATTGTTCAAATAAAAGTTGTTTGTAATATAATTCTCTATAATTTTTGTCCTATACATAATTTCTCTAAAATGGACCGTATTCGAGATATTTGAGAAAATGTGTAAATTTTGAAATTTGAAGAAAACTCAAAAACGGATAAAGGAAAAAACATTAAATTTTAAACTTAAGGTTTATTTCGGCCTGACGTGAAATGATTAGATTTTGGACAAAGTCGGAACATTTGGGGGGTACTTTATGGGAGGCCGTTTTTATATTTTATGGAATATATCTGTTATTTATGTTTGGAGAAGAAAATTGTTCAATAAAAGTTACTTCTAATATTTTTATCTATAATTTTTGCTTTATGTCAACATTTCCTGAAATGGTCCGTATTCGAGAAATTTGACAAAATGTGCAAAATTCTGATTTTTATGAAAATTGTTGAACTAAAAGTTGTTTGCGATATCGATTTCTATAATTTTTGTTTATACATGAGTTTTCTAAAATGGACCGTAATGGAAAAGTGCTAAATTTAAATTTTTCTGTATTTTCGTTTTCAATGAATATCTATAGAAAAATGTTTCGAGGTAGATGTATGTGGAAAATGTATATATTTAGTTTATCCTCTAAACATTTATAGAGATGCTGCAATAGGTTGTACAAAATAACCGGAAAATGCCTATAATAACTAGATAGGAAAGTCATGTGTTGGACACATCAGATTTTTAGGTGAAAGTATCCTAAAAAGTATCCGGATACATTGTAAGTATCCGTATCCGATACTCGGATACTTTTTTCCTGTATCCGACCCAACTCTGATATCGGTAATCGAATTTTTGTATATAGGATAAATGATAATATGAAAAATTATAAATCAATATATTAATATAAATTGTTTTACGTGTTATGTTAATCTTAAAATTAAAAAAATAGGTTTTTTCTTATTTAGTAAAGAAAAATATTTCTTTTGTGCTAATAATTTTTTTTTAGTCTGTATCGAAAAAATATTGAACATAAATAAACTTATTACTTACTAGAATACAATTCGGAAATTTTATAGAAGCATATTTTAAAATAATTCTTAATTGTTCTTGAACAGCTGAAGAGAAAATCATTTGTAACTATACATTTAGTTTAAGATCACTTAAATCAATTTAGTTTATTCGTTATTTCGATAACGAGTATGGACAATTTAAATTTGGAAATTTCGGAAACAATAAGAGGGAAACCATTGGATTTCAGTATAGTATCAAAAGGAAGAGAGACAGCATTGTTACTT